GTTTGTTTTGTTCTGGTTCATTAGTTGGCAATTTGTTTGTTCATAAACCAAACTATCCCACAGTGCAACAAACTGAATTGAATAATATCTTGGCAAAATCTAATAAGAGGAAGAAGTCTTCGCAGATGAATCAAACATATCTTGGGCATCTTAGACTTGGACACATCAACCTTAGGAGGATTCAAAAGTTGGTGTCTAGCGGACATCTCGGTCCACTAGAAGATAATTATCCAACTTGCAAATCGTGCCTGGAATGTAAGATGGCCAAGAGGCCATTTTCAACAAAGGGATATAGGAGCCAAGAAGTGTTAGGATTGATTCATTTTGATTTGTGTGGTCCTATGTCTATTCAAGCTAGAGGAGGTTACAAGTACTTTGTCTCATTCGTTGATGATTACTCGAGATTTGGGCACATCATAATTTATAGCATAATAATTTCTAAGTTCTATCATAATATTTATAAATTCTATAAGATAATCAATTCTAATTTATAACATAATAATTTTTTAAGTTCTAATATAATAATAATAAATTTTAATTTATAAGATAATCAATTCTAACTTATAACATAAAAAGTTATAAGTTAAAACCAAGGTTCTTAAAACCGAACCGGTCATCGAACCGGTGAAGCTACCGGTTCAATGGTTCGCTGGTCGGACCAGTGGTCGAACCGGTGTAATTAATGTATAATTTTTATTATTTTTTATGTATATTTTATATATTTTTATCATTAATTTTTTAGTGTACAATGACATTTTCTAAATAAATAAATAAGGAATGGTGCATATTCTAACTATTTTAGCTACCATGTCTAATTCCAAGTGTATGCTCATAACCAATATGCATTATTTTATTTTTCCCATTTTTGGGAAAAGATTTTTTATGGCAAAAAATAATTAAGCTATTTGTGAACAAAACAATTCAACTATTTATGAAGGCCCAAAACAATTCAACTAATAAATATAGGAAAATTTACATAATTATGCCTATTATAACACTTATTTTTAGATTTACGATTAGAAGCAATATTTTATCATTTAAGGCGATCAGGCAAAATATATATATTTTTTTTATTTTTACAATCCTATCAGCCTTTCCACAAAACTCGCAGCAATTAAGATTACCAAAACCTTCCATAAAACTCGCATCAATTAAGATTACTAAAATTGACGTGATATCAAAACAGACGTTTCCAAAAAAACAAAAAGAAAGAAAGAAAAAATCATACTAAATAATTGGAGTTACCATCTTTGTGTTCGGGAATTTCAAATTTTTAGACGAAGCTGAGCAGAGATCTCTGTTGCTTTCTTTTTCTGACATAGGACATGAACTTGATTCACACAAAAGAAAAAAAAAATCGCTCGACCACCAAATATATGTTCAGATATATGGTATATACGGTTTTGATAAGAAGCCAACAGTTGCTCCACTGTGGAGTCAACCTTCTATATACAACAAGTAAATATACCATATTATCTGATTACTTAAATAACACTAATATAATTTTATTAATATGGTAGGTTTATTTGTTATATATAGAAGGTTGGCTCCAGTATGGAGCCAACTGTTGTCTTTATAGCAAAACCAACGGTTATATATACATCAGATAAACACGACCTATCTGTTTTCTATTATTAACCGTATGGTTATACATAAGATAAACAATATATAAACAAATTACGATACAGGATTAAACATATTAAACAAATTTGAATGACTGCAAAATCCAAATTGAATTTAGTTAGACATAAGATAAACAACACATAAACAATTTTCAAACATGATTGATTGACCTCACCACTCCCCACTTCACCCCTTCATCTCCTCAACGAGCCCTGGTACATCTTCGACGGTGTATGGAGGAATCTTCGAACCGCCATCAGAACAATTTATTTATCAGAATCATCAAGAGCGTTGGTGCATCTTCGACGGTACACAGGTGAATTGTCCAATTGTCCAACTGCCATCAGAACCACTAATCTTCGATTCGACTTCGTTACTGGCCATACAAATCTCTAATCGCGACTCTTACCCAGTCACGACCTTCTCAGCTGCCGCCGTCAAAAGGGTGATGGGAAAATTGAGTGATACTTGACCACCGATTCCGTCTTGCCCTTATGTGCTCTGGGCCGCCACGTGAAGAAATAGATAGAGAAGGAAGGAAAAGAGCAGGGATGCGAATAGAGAGAGAGAGAGAGAGAGAGAGAGAGAGAGGGAGG